CTTTAACTGCTGTTTCATTAACTGCCAGTTGACAGCACATACATCAAGCTCCCACAATGCTTAGGGAGCACAACCGTAACCTGCAGTGATCCACCCGCAAGAGGAGTTGCCAGTGATGGATTGTGTGACATGAACTGAGCGCACTCTCTCTCTCTCTCTCTCTCTCACTCTCTCTCACCCTCTTGCTCTCAGACTTACATTCACACACAGACACACACACTCAGACACACACTGAGCACTTCTCCTGCATCTCATTAGGTCTGATGATGTGGGTGAGGCAGGTATTTCTGTTGTATCTGCAGCTGCTCAGCCTTCCATCAGCAGCAGCAGCAGCAGCTGCAGCAGCAGCAGCAGCAGCAACAGCAGCAGCAGGCGCAGGACGCGCAACATATCATCACATTAAAAATAATCAGACTAATAATATTTTCAATTGTTTTTACACAGTCAACCACAGAGATGTTTACTCCCCTTAGAATTTTATTTTTTTTAAAATTTTTTTTAGGTGTTTTAATGCTGATATTTCTTTGTCTCCTAAGAAGTGGGAATGACTAAATGTTTAACGGGTTCAAACACCACAGTGGAGTCTGTGTTGACAGAACGATAGGGTTTTATTTTCTTTTTCTTACGTCGTCTTAGAAGCAGCGTTCCTCTGTGTCGTGGTGAAACGATGACGTGTCCAGGCTGAAATAATGCCGTTCCTCACACGTGTCTCAGGATATCAGTGAGTTTAATGTGATGTACTGTAGTTTGGGAGACACTTAGTTCCAGCTCAGTATGTCGTTCCTCACACGTGTCTCAGGATATCAGTGAGTTTAATGTGATGTACTGTAGTTTGGGAGACACTTAGTTCCAGCTCAGTATGGTTGGTTTTTTTTTTTTCAATTAAACAAGTCACACATAAAATAGATAAATGTGTGTGTATGTGTGTGTGTTTGTGTGTTATTGTGCCTTCCGTCACTGTGACAACGTCGTGCTCAAGTTTTTATTCTTCTGTTTCAGACTGTGAGTGACCACGGGAAAAAAAATGTTACTGTCAATTTTAAGAGAGAATTTATTTATTTTTTGTCTAAAATCGTTACCGTGATGATTCAGATTTGGTTAAATTCAACAAAAATAATGACTTTGTCAAGACCACAGCCTGTTAAATCATGATTCAAAATAGACGACAGGAGTTGACCTCTGATTTGTTGAAATCTCTCCTCTCCTCTCCTCCCCTCCTCTCCTCTCCTCTCCTCCTCTCCCCTCCTCTCCTCTCCTCCCCCCCCCCCCCCCCCCCCTCCCCTCTCCTCTCCTCTCCTCCCCTCCTCTCCTCTCCTCTCTCCTCTCCTCTCCTCTCCCCCCCCCTCCTCCCCCCCCCTCCCCCCCCCCCCTCCCCTCCCCTCCTCCCCTCCCCTCCCCTCTCCTCTCCTCTCCTCCCCTCTCCTCCTCTCCTCTCCTCTCCCCCCCCCCCCCCCCCCCCCCCCCCCCCTCCCCTCTCCTCTCCTCTCCTCCCCTCTCCTCCTCTCCTCTCCTCTCTCCTCTCCTCTCCTCCCCTCTCCTCCTCTCCTCTCCTCTCTCCTCTCCTCTCCTCCCCTCCTCTCCTCTCCTCTCTCCTCTCCTCTCCTCTCCCCCCCCCCCCCCCCCCCCTCCCCCCCCCCCCCCCCCCCCCCCCTCCCCTCTCCTCTCCTCTCCTCCCCTCTCCTCCCCTCCTCTCCTCTCCTCTCCTCTCCTCTCCACTCCTCTCCTCTCCTCTCCTCCTCTCCTCTCCTCTCCTCTCCCCTCCTTTCCTCCCCTCCTTTCCTCCCCTCTCTCATTATTTCTCAGCTCCTCTCCTCATGCTTTTATGAGAGCGAAGAATCAATAAGGGATTGTGCAGAGGAAGAACTGTGGCTCACATGCCAAGATAATTTGCATCAGAAAATGGCAGCAACTGCACAAAAGTATATCGATGTGAAAAAGAAAGGAGTGGACTGTAGGCCATGGAGGGGGCGGGGGGCAGGGGAGAGGGAGGGAGAGAAACAGAGAGAGAGAGGTTGAAGAGAAGCCAGTAGGAACATGTAAAAATCAAGTGTTTAACGTCTGAATAAAAATGCTTCCTTGTGTTTGTGTAAAGATCCACTGAGACAAAGACACACTTGTATAATTCCATGGCAATATTTTTATTTATTTTACAATTTAAAAACGGATAAATTACAGTATGTCGTCAGCATAAAACATCACAACAAAAAACACTTGACACACAAAACAATGACACACACACACACACACATGGTCAATTGTGGTTGAAAAGTAGTTGAACTTTCAACCTTGTATTTTTTTTCTTTTCCTGCTCATTGGTTCATTCGACCTTGTTCGATTTGTTTGTTTTGTTTTTTTGTTTATAATGTCTGGTCGACATTTGTGATTTGTTTTCTTTGTTTATAATGTCTGGTCGACATTTGCAGCATGTTAACACTTGGAGATCAAACAATTCATCACACCCTCATTAATTCACGTCATGATTTACTTCATTAATCAACATTAATCTCACATATTTGACCATATTTAGGTATATTTCCCTCAGAAAGGGACACGTCTATGTCAGTCAAACGACTGAATTAATGGACCCGTGTCCATCAAGTCTGTCTTAGCTCCGCAAATCTCAGTTCCCAGATCAGGACTATGTGTTTTTCCAGCTTCTTTTCTATGCAACATAGATGTAAACTTTGGGATCTTCGGGCATCTTTGCCATGTACTCCCTCTCTATGAGTCCTTCTATTCTCCTCTTGATGACTACGGGGCTGGGAGGAAAGCGCGCCTGGAGCTGCAGCGTCACCTCGGCCACCAGGTCGTTCTGATGCATCTCTTTCCTCGACTTCATAATTCGAACGATTGCAGCCTCTATCTCGTACTTCCTGTCATCGTCCACTTTCTGCCGCGTCTCCCTCTTCTCGGGGTCTGATTCGCCCTGTTTGGCAGCTACGGGCAGTATCTCCACTCTGCGCAGTTTGGAAGTGAAGCCGTCATTGACCGTAAACACGTGGTCGTTTTCTATTTCCTTGGCCTTTGGCTCCTTGGAGAGAATCTTTTGCGTCGGCTTACCGTAGATCAGGGACTGCAGAGCTGGCAGGAGCTCACGCTCCGGGATGTCGGACTCCTGCAGGATCTCCTGGTAGGTGAACTTCTCCTTGTTGTTGAAGAGCATGAGTATGGTCATCTGGTAGGTGGACACCTGCAGTATGTGCTCCTTTTCAAAGGTGCCGTAAAAAATTGCGTTCACCGATGCCACGCCCAGGTGAGGCTGCAGGGTGAGTTGCCTGCCGCTGTGCTTGGCCAAGTAGAACTGCTTAAAGACCTCGTAGGCGTAGCGGGGGACGGGGGGGAGGTTACATCGGGGGTTTATGCACTGAACCGGCCAGTAGACTGACGTGAGCACGCTCACTTTAATGTCCAGCCCGCGCAGGGACGCCGAGGTCTGCATGTGCTGCATGAACTCGTCCATGGTCGTGTCAGAGATAGTCATGTCTCTTAGCATCCCCTCCAGTTTGGAGGTGAAATTGAAGCCACACTCCGTCTTCAGCCTGGAGACCATGTTCTTCTCGTGATCCTCTCTGCTCTTGCTCAGCAACCGTTTCACCAGGTGTAGCCTGTAGTAGCGCTCAAACACGTCCTTCTCCTGCAGGAACCTGAACAGCACCATGGTCTTGTCAAGAATCGATTCCACCTCCTGTTCTGCTAACCACTTAGCTCCTTTCTTTAGCTTGTCATCAATGAAGAGCGACAAGTACTCCGGAGAGTGATAGTTCAGGTTGAAGAAATATTCAAAGTCACTGGCAGTGCTCTGTTTCAGGAGTTTGTCATTGTTGAAGGACTCGTGGAGCAAATGGTCAAACTGGGCCTTCAGGTCCAGCATGTTCTGGATGAAGTCCACGGGGTTTTTCCCCTCGCCGTCTTCTGACACCAGAGCTCTGCCCAACTCCCTCAGGTAGGAGCTGATGCAGTCACAGATGGTTTTCAGGCCGTTGGGTACGCGGCTGAACAGCTTGTACATGCAGGCCATGTCCTCGGTCCGGCTGTTCTTGACCATGTGGATGAGCCCGGAGTTCTCCATCTCCACGATGGTCTTCATGTGTTTGGAGATGAGTTCCCATTCCACCACCTTGACAATGGGCTCCTCCGTGGACCTGTCTAAGCAGTGTACAACCCGCTCCGTCTCCTCGCTGATCCGGGCCTCCACCTTCTTTATATAGACACTGGCGCTGTTTTCAGCCAGCAACTTCTGGCTCTCCATCTGCAGGAACTCGGCCGAGACGAACAAAAAGGGAACTTCAAAGTCTTCCTCGTACACAGACCTGCCATCCAGGCTGAGGAACATCAGCATCTGGCAGGCGTTTCTGATGGCCCCTCTGTCTACAACCTCCCCGCTCCTCTCACGCGCAATCATGTCCAGGAGTGTGTGTTGCAGGCGGTCGCGGATGCAGCCAAAGTGAACCACCTTGTCTCTGAATATGATGAGGCCGAGGTTGTACACGTTCTCCACGTTGTTCTGCTGGACGTAGACGCGGTCCATGTACATGAAGATGTCCCTGATCATCACCATGGCCGTGTGGTGGTCGTTCCAGGCCTGGATCAGGGTTTGAAGGAAGTTGTTATTTACAGAGTTTAGAACATCTCCAGCTACTTTGAGGATGAGGTGTTCGGTGACGACGTCCCTCAGACCCGCGTAGAGCTTCTCTCCGTGTTTTTGTATGACCATGATGTAAGCGTTCCTGTACAGCACCTCGAACTCTGGCCTGCAGCTCTTCTTCCTCTGGATGTCCTGGACGGCGTTCTTCAGGAGGTCCCAGATGCTGTTCACGTACACCTCGTCCAGCTCCACGGGAAAGGCTTGAATCCTCATCTTGGTGTCCTTCTTGGTGTCCTTCTTGGCGCTGCTTCTGAGGTGGGACATGACTTGTTACTGAGCCTCTCTGTTCTGGTGTGTGACAGCGCTTGGTATCCATAAAATGTGTGTGTGTGTGTGTGTGAGTGTGTGTGTGGTGAACTACTGCAGCTGTTGTCCACACATTGGATGTTTACCCAGAAAAAGTCTCAAACTATTGTAGTTATGAAGGGGGTTTCTTTGTGTCCGTGTCGCCCAGGCGCCCAAACTACACAAAAGCAGCCGCCTTTCATGTGCCTTTGATCCATCAGGTGACATCATGATGTGGTTTTGAGAGGGCCAAACAAATACGCGTGGACATTTGTCTTATCTGTTTGCGTCAGTTCTAGGATGAGAGTCCTGGAACTCTCTCTCGGACTCTAAGTCTCACAGCGTTGATCACAATCAACCAGTTCATCACAGAGGTAGAATATACTCCATATATACTCTATATATACTCTATATATACTGTATATATACTGTATATATACTCTATATATACAGTATATATACTGTATATATTCTACCAAGAATCTGGCATCCCATCGCTATTGAATTTCTTTCTTTTAAACTGACTATTTTGTTCTGCAGTTTGACATTTTCTCGTTCTTTAAACAGATCTTTCTGTGCCTTTGATCTGGTTTTGATTTGTTCTTTAAACAAATCTTTCTGTGCCTTTGATCTGGTTTTGTTGGATCTGTTTTTTTATTTTATTATTATTTCTTGTTCTAATTAATATGTCAGAGTTCATACGTTATTATTTCTTATTCTAATTAATATGTCAGAGTTCATACGGTGAATATCAGCAAAAAACCCAAAATTAAGAGTCCGGTCCTGAAACGACCATGAGGTTGGTACATACAGGAAACAGGACATGGGTTTGACGGCTGAACCAAAGCAGAGACTTCAGGAACCTTGAAGCCCCTCCCCCCCCCCCCCCCCCCCATAATGAACACAGACAAGTTTTTGCCCCAGGTGACACGGAGAAGGTGAGGGAATTCCAGCTGGAGCTCAGGAAGGAGAGAGAGAAAGGTTAGGAGTGGAGCTGGATCTGGAGATGGGGAAATGAAAGAATCTGCTTTTCCACCAGAATCTCTTTTTCTGTCGCATCCCTCCCCCAACCAGAACACTGACCCGCTGCTACACACACACACACACACACACACTCCCTCCACATGAGCTATCCCTAAGACTCTCCATCACAGCGGATCAGGCGAGGAGGCCAGGGAAGCTGCAGACCCCGAGGACATCAGCTCAGGTTTTTTCTGAAGGACTGTGCAGATCATCTTCTCCCTGAGCCGTTCACAACCTCTCACTTGGAGAAGCCTCGTTCTTCTGGACCTTCACGGAGTTGGGAGACATTTGCGTATCTCCGTTGACAACTTTTACAGTTTCCACCTCAGCTCCTGGTTCAGGTTTTTGGTTGTTGTTAGATTTAGATACTGTTGTCGAAGGGCCACGCGGTGGTGGAGCGGTTGGTGGTCAACCCCTGCCCCCGGTTCTGTACGGAGTTGAATCCAAAAATGAGCTGAACTGTGAACGGGTTTCAGTTCAGACCTGTTTAATCCAAAGGATGGGATTATAAATATGTAGAAATGTCACTCAAAATATATAGAAATATAATTCCACAATATAATTTAGTGGATTTTAGTCATTATCGTGCATCGTAACGACGGCTTCTGGAACGAGTCGCAGGTTTTCCTTCATAACTTCCAGTCGTCTTCAACAGTGTTAATCCGTCCACTGTCTCCTCACCGTCCATTTGACAATGTGTCCGTCAACTTGTCAGTCGAAGACTTGCTGACCGTCTGATGCAAGGCCGGCCCCGGGCGTCCGACCTGAAGCCGGAGCCTCCGCACGCCGGAACATGCCGAGAAAATGTTTAAGGAAAACCACGCACATTTATATATGTCCATATATGTCCATATATGTCCATATATTTACATTAGTTTAATATATGATCTTCAGTGTTGAGGTTGCTCAGAGTCAGCCCACAGCCTCCCCCTCCTCCCCCTCCTCCTCCCCCCTCTGATCAAACCCAACTTCGAACATGAAAATAATTAGTCCTAAACGCGGGGTTTCACTTTCATTTGCTCGTCCTCTTCTTCCCTCTCCGGAGTTTTGCCCAAAAGCTGTCTTGATTATTGACCAAATTGACTATGTGTCTCACACAAATAAGCATTACTACTCACAAAATTGCATTTCCCTGCTTCCTGGTCTCCAGTGGTGCTCGTTCAGCAGATCAGTCCTGTTATCTGCCCTATCATCAGGCTTGAAGTGTTTCCATGCTGTGCTTCACTCAATGAAGCCGGTGAAAAGACAGGCTTCTCCGTCTAACAGCTTGCAGCAGGCAATCTGTACTATCACACACACACACGCAGACACACACACATGTTCACACACAGCTTGGCAATCTGTGCTATCTATTAGCAGAGAGCTGGGGGTAGTCTATTCCCCATGCCCCGAACAGCACTCTCCTCCACCGACTTCTCCTCAGATTCAATCAATAGCGGCTCGTTCGTTCGCCGCGGAGCTGTGTGTAGGTGTGTGTAAGAGGGAGATGTGCAGCACTCCCAGCCCGCGTTCTTCTCCAAAATTAATTATGCAAATGACTGTTACATGCATCACGTTTTTTTCTTTTTCTTTTTTTCTTTTTTTTTACAACATCAAATGTGACAGCAGAGACGATAAAGAAAAAAAAAGAACAATTGGACTTAACATGCGGCCGAGGCCGGAGAGAAGAATGAGATAAAAAAAAAAGGACTTAACATCTGTGTAGTTGGTGCGTTATTTTTATTTTCTACCTATGTGCATATTAACACCCTCCTGCACCACCACGTGTGTAATCACCGTAACCGTGGCAACTGCACGTCAGGCTGAAACTAAGTTGGTGCAGCGTGAACTTTGTGTGGCCGCCGTGTTTCAGAGCCGGGCTGTGGCTGAACTGGATCACACACTGACATCTGTTTGGTCAAGACTTGGACATGCTCCTGACCCCCCCCCGCATCCACCCGACCCCCATCATCACCCCACCATCAGTCCGATGTGTGAACATCTTGTTTACGTGTTGTTTGCGATGTTTATCTTCCACGTGAATCAAACAGACGTGAACTCAATTT